ATTCCGTTCGCGTGTACATAAATTCTACCTCCCCGTGGGACCCAACCAAACCCAACCCAAAAGCCCAACAAAACCTCCACTTAACCTCCATTTCCATATCCATATCCATTCCCCCAACGCAAAGCAAAGACATAAACATCAATTGAGATTTGGCTTCAAACATTGGCCAAGCCAACAACTTATTAAGACTGAAAAATGTTGACAATTGACGGATTGACAAGAGGTGCAAGGAACGCCGAGAGAGGAGACGGAATGGCCTAGGGAGGGGGGTAGAGTTGGGGTGCTGAGAGGGACAGAGCGCTAAAGTCTGTCAGTGGTTCAACAAGCGGTTTTTTTTTTTGCATGGCCCCTCCCGCGCTACCCCCTGCTTTTGTCTCGTGTTTCGCTGTTTTGCGGTTTATCTGTCCCTACCTCCTCTCCTCTGTTTTGGTGTCCCCCTGCCTTCATACAAATTGGTGTCTCTCCGCCTCACTCTTTTGGTGTCCCTCCTCCCTCCTCCCTTCAGCCATCCACCCCACTCAAATTGGTTTTGCTGCCATTTTCAGTGACATTAATTTACAGTTTGACAAAAAAGAGAAAAAAAAGGAACAACAAAACTCATTAAAGAAACATATTGAAAGATAAGCGAAGGCAACGACAGCAAAATGCAAAAGAACTTGGAGACTTTTATGGCAAACAATTTGTGGAGAGTTTTTGTTTTTGGTATGAAAATACTTGCAAACTAAAAATTAAGGCTACAAAAGAAAAGGGATAAATGCTTTGGCCTGACGGATCCATAGTTCCTACCGATTATATATTCTTTGTATTATCTTTGGTTGATTCTTTGGAGATGGGTTTCGTCAGATCTAAAACATCTTCGAATGAGTTTTTTCTTCCAAATGACTTAGTACTGGTAAAAATTTTATATGGTGCTTCAATCTAGACAGTTTCGGTATAAAACTGGGACGATTTTTCTTGTTTACCCTTTTGACAATTGCATGTAATTGGATGCGCACATTAGTTCCTCATCAGATCTTGAATCGATCATAAATTAGCAGGAAAATAATATTTAATGGTTCATGCAAGAAACGAAAGTTAAAATTCAATCGAAGCAGAAAATGCAGGGAGAGGGAGAAAAAGAAGTAGACGAAAGACAGAGGATAAGCATCCCGTCAGCTTTCATTCAGAGCGTCCTCTTCTGCCTGATTAAGCAAAAGGAAAGAGCAGATAAGCTCTTGCACACGCATACAGTTACAGAGACACACCTACAGAGGCCCACATTATGCAATGATCTGTCCAGTGCTTGCGCTCTGCTCTCCCACTCTCCCACTCTCCGCATCGCATTCCGTTCTGCCGCTTCCCTCTCTTTTTGCGTTCTCAGTCTGTCCCGCTTTGACTTGTGTTCAGTGAAGGAAATGAGGTGAATGCCTTCTTAGCAGGCGACAAACAAAACAGAAAACCAGCGACGAAGAGTGGCTAAAGTGGAAGCGGTGGAAGAAGAGGGCCGGGCCTGCTGCCCAAAGTCCATAAGCCATGCGAAATCGATATATTTCAGGGACACCTCATCCCACCGACTGCCCCCTCTCCACTCTACACTCTTACATTGCATTTTATTTTGTTTCCTGTCCTGTTCTTGTCCATATGCTGCCTATGCTTCTACTGCGCCTCCCATTTTCTTGAAGTGCAATGCGGTTTCAACAATTTTGTGCTCATTCAGGGTGTTGCCAAGGTACATTTAAAGAGGGTTTGACACTATGACAATAGATGCCTGTACGCTGTGACACTCTATCCATCTTTCGCTCTCTCTAACTAAAACAAGAGCCTTCTAAATAATATACCTTGGTTGCCATACTAAAGGAGGAAGGGAGAAAAGTCCAGCGTCCAGCTTAGGATTAGAGTGTGAGAGTGCCTGCTAGGAATACGAGGAAGAGATAGAGGAAGACAACTGCTAGAGGAGGGCAAGGCGCGAGTGCTGCAAAGAATGCAAAGACTGACGTAGGGGGGAGGGAGTATAAAGAGGGCGAGAGCATGACTAGTTTCGACTGCCTGTCGCCTGCCGTTTTGGTGGGGTGGGTGGGTGACTCACCCACAGAACATTTGCGGACAGCTTGCAGTTTATTTTTCTGCATTTGTTTTTGCTTGCGAGAGTGTTTACTCACGTGTGTGTTCTCTGCTCTCGTGTGTGTGTGTGTTGGTGTGTTTGCAAGTGTTCTCTTTCTTGTGGTCTGGTTTTCTGGTCTTCCATGTGGTGTGGTCCTTTTCTGACACACGTGGAAGCCACATCAATCCATCAGCCGACTTGTTTAAACGTGTCGCTTGGGGTCGCGCCTTCTTCTACGACGAGCAGATGCAGAGAGATGGATGGCAACGACTGGAGCATACCCTGCAGCGAAAGAATTGACTGATTTAGAATGGATTTGAAATGGTTTTTTCCTACTTAATACGTAAATTACTCTCTCCTTTAAGAGAGACTTTGTTCCTACTACCCTACCCTCGATTATTTCTGCATTTCTACAATCCCTAGCTTACTCTTTCAAGCTGCACAACAGCTCCATACAATAGACACAAAAAACTATGTATACTTTCACAGCAAAACAACCTCAAAGACATTGGAAAAACTTGTTCTGCCCACCGTTTTTTGTTTCTTTTTCTTTTTCAGTTATTATCTCTCATCTTTTACCGCCTTTTTCCTCATCGTTGACTTTAACTTTTCTCAAGCTTTTACACAGAGTCAGTCAGTCAGTCAGTCAGTCTCCTGCCTGCCCCTTGGGGCACTCAATTATCTGCACTTGTCACACACACAGGAATCCAGATGGTGGCTTTTGAGGCCCCCGGGATAATGATGATCACTTAGCACATGATCCATTCGGATCGGAGATCTTGCAGATCTCAGAGAGAGAGAGAGAGACAGAGAGAGAGAGAGAGGTAGTTTTCTCCCGGTGATGATGATTAGCAGGCACTTTCATACATAAATTCTGAGTTTTATCTCTGATTTAAGACTAAAAGAAAATTGCGTAACGGTTTTCTTGGCAGGTTTTTCATCCAGCTTCTTCCTCCCCCCCCCCACCACGCCGTTCCAGAAAACGCTAATTGCTGTGAGCTGCTCATAAAGTGGGAAATGTTGCAAGAGTCGTTATGGGGGAGTGGAGCAGCAGAGCAGCGGAGCAGCGTTGGTAGAGTCTCTGTGTGGGGTGGAGTGGGGTGCTGTATACCAAATTATCGTTAAAATAAATGTACGGTTTTGTTGCCTTTGGTTAATGCAAATATCCCCACCCCTCCCAACAAAAAAAGCCTCCAAAATGCTGACGAAAAATTGCAATGATTTGGGCTCCAGAAAAAAAAAGGGGGAAAGCGATCCTCCAACGATTGCCGCACCAATCCTTCTTCGGTTCCCCACTGAACCTCATTGGATTCTCCATCGATTGCTGCTCCACAGTACCCCACCAAAATCGTATCGTATCGAATCGAAATCGGTCTGATGGTCAAGCCCTTAGCCCGAGGCCCAACACTTGTTTTTATTTTATTTTGGGGCCGTTATTTTTTTGGTTTTTTTTTTTTTTGGGAAAGCATCGAATCATTGATTGCATAAGTAGGACAGCAGAAGGCGTGGCACTGGAATTTGGGTTAAAAAAACAGAAAGGGGAAGCAACAGAAGTTGGAGGAAAAAGGTGGATCCACAAGAGATGGACAAGGAAGAGGGAAAACAGAAAGGCGACCCACAAAACGAGGAACGAGGTGGTGCCTTGCTGGTGCTGGTGTGGAGAAGGAAGTGATTTATGTGGAGAACTCTTTTTGGGGAGCATAATGAATACATATCTGTGACCCATTAAACAGCACAAATCAACTCCCACATGTGGGAGGAAATAACAAATTCCCCAAACCATTTAAATGTCACGAGAATGTCACACCACAGATCGAAGTGTGGAGGCAGGCGCCTCCTTCTGTGTTCCCTAGTGAGCAAATGTGTTGGCTGTCACGCCCTCTTGCACCTATAAAATGAAATGAAATTCTTCGAGAGTTGAAAGTTGCCACCAAAGTGTTGCAATGGGAATGGTTTGTGGATTTGCTGTGGAGTCGGATTCGGATTCGCTTTGGTTTCATTTCGGTTTCGTTTTAGGTGTGGAATGACACTGTGAGATAGGGAATGTATACTGTGGAGTGGGGTCTGGGGATCGCTGAGATGGCAAATTCCTTAAGGGGAAGTCAAGATTATTTATGGACCTGGAAGAGCAGTGAATCAGTGGAAGTCCGAAAATATTTAACAGTGGATTTTCACTATAAAATTCGGCCTATAATAATCTCTAAATGTTTACCGATGATATATGAAATTTGTAAAGGAATTTTCAGCTATATTTTGCATCTCTAATGGGTTTTATGCGTGTTCTATACGGTATTCCATGGTATTATATCGATGGGGAGAGATCTTTATTGGATTTCTAGCTATGTTTTTGCTATCCCATAGTTTATACTGCATAGTTTATCTATTTTGATTCCTTTTACTTTATTTAAATCCATATGCCCTTCAAATTCATAAATCTAATTAAAAATTCTCTTTTCTTTTGCTTTTAGGTAAGTAAAAACGATGACCATTTTTCAACGCAGAAAAACCTGAAGAAAATCATGTGTACTTCCGTCTTTGTTGGAGCTCTCTCTGCATAAGAAAAAGCTGTCGCTCTTGTGGACAGGTAAACGACATAACGCTAATGTCTTCCCTTTACCATTTTCCCCCAAATGCTTTTGGAGATGGGAAGACAGACGACACATAACGTGGCCGTAGGCCGGATATAGCAATAGTAATCCATATGATAATATTATAATGATAATCGTATGTAGATTTGTATGGTCAACCACCATCTATATAGGGAGTGTAGGAAGTCATAACTTTTGATGTAATTGAGGATGTTAGCAAATAAAACTCAAAAAAATGTGTGGGAGAGATTTTTAGATATTTATACGGAATTATAGCGAATTTCCATTGAAAATAAATGGGAAAACAAATTAAACTCAAGCACTGTGGGGGAGATGGTTAAATTTATTTTATTTTTAAATATATTTCGGTGAAATTATAGCAAATCTTCATGGAAAACGAATGAAACTCCAAAAATGTGGGGGTTCCAATTGGTTCCAATTTTGTATTTTTTTTTAGAGGAATATACTTACAGCCAATTTTCATTCATCTTCTTTCATCGAATGATAAATGGACTTTGTTTTATTCAACTTTTTCTTGCCCATCAACGTCACTGGTGTCCTATACGGATCCGGGGGCAGTCGCAGTCTCCGCCGCTGTTTGACTTCTTTGGCCAGATCCTTGTACACTTTGCGCCGCTCCCTGTCCATGCGATGCCACATGTCGCGGGCCACACGTTGCAACAAAACCAAATCCTTGAAACTCAGCCTGCGATTGTGGATGGGATACTCGTCCTCCAGTAGCCCACGCTGCCATTGCTGATCCAATTTCATTTTGTAATACGATTCATACATTTCGCGTACAAAATTCTGAAACCCCGACGTTTCGCCATGGATGACAGTGTCGCGATGTGCCACATGTTGCAGGGTGGTGTGCGTGAATGCCACATGACGACTGAGGCGAGGCGCCAGAGTTGCCCACATAGAGGAGGCGGGTCCTCGTACACGAATTTGTGTCTGGGGATAGTTCCATTGGATGGTTCCAGTGTGAGGTTGGTGTGCCGGTACGGTTGGTGTTGTTGTTGGTGGATTGGCTGCCAGAGATTCATCTGATGTGCCATTAGCACGATTCACCATGGAGTCGAGCATACGCCAAGCGGAGGAAAATATGTTTGCCATTTTGCCTGAACGAGGAAAGCAAATGATGATTGAATCATCAGTGCCTACTTTGTTGCACCAAAACTCCCCCTACAAAAATATATTTTTGGATGTATTTTCCGTTTAAATCCGAGTTTACCTTGACTTTTTATTCAGTTGTTTTGGATTCGCAAAAGTAAACTCCCTTCCAGATTTAGTTTAAACATAAACACTCGTACGAACAGTTCGGGGAGCTATTAAAATATTTTTTTATTTTTTCAACAATTAAAAAAAAGGTAAATTCTTTTTTGAATTTTAAAAGAAAATTTCCTAGAAAATATTCTTTCTTTTTCTTTTTGTTTTTTTGTTTTTGTTTTGATTAGCAGTCAGTCCCTGTGATGGCTGACGAGCATGACAATCAATTTGATACGGTGGACTCGGGTGCCTCCAAGACATTTCCCATGCAGTGTTCGGGTCTGCGCAAGAACGGATACGTAATGCTGAAGGGACGTCCGTGCAAGATTGTCGAAATGTCCACCTCAAAGACGGGCAAGCATGGCCATGCCAAGGTCCATCTGGTGGGCATTGACATCTTCACACAAAAGAAGTACGAGGACATTTGCCCGTCGACACACAACATGGATGTGCCGCATGTGAGGCGCGAGGATTTCCAGTTGACGGACATTAGCGACGACGGCTATGTGACCCTGCTGTCCGACAATGGGGATCTGCGCGAGGATCTCAAAGTACCGGACGGCGATTTGGGTTGCAGCCTACGAGAGGACTTTGACGATGGCAAGGAACTGCTGTGCACTGTACTGGCAGCCTGTGGCGAGGAGTCCATCATTGGAATGAAACAGAATACCGGATTGGACAAGTAGAATATTAAACAAAAAAACCAACAAAAAATCCAGAAAAAGAAACAAGCAAAAAAAATGAAATCACTTTCGGCACGCGAAGGTGTCGAAGAGACAACTTTTCGAACTTTTGGTACACGCGGCACACTTAACATTTGGTTTGTTCTTTGTTACTAAACAAATTTCGAAATAAAATATTGTATGCCGAGATGTTTGCTCGACGAAATATTAAGATGGAATTTGTGTGTTTAAATGATCTTCTAATGAGCTAGGGCATGACCTACCATGCCCTAACGATTTACAAGTTCTCCTTAATAGTTGCCAGAAATACCAAGACTCTGTAACCAAAGTGCAATCCCCCGCTTTATCTACAGCGAAGATTTCAACTATTTATCAGACAACAAATCCATTTACCTTGCCCCAAAGTCCCACATTAAATTAATTAGAGATCATTAGAGTGCGTTGTTTTCCCCCTCCCCCTCCCCCGCCCTCTCTCTCGCTCTATCTCTCTCTTTGGTGCTCTGTTGCACTGTGATCTCTGATCTCTTAGGGCGTGTCAGGGTCGTAGTCGGTTATGAAATCGGTTTCAAATCGTTTATCAAAGTCGAATTTTGTTGGATTACATTTGATTTGTGGCTTTGATGGTGGGGTGTGTGGTTGTGTTCCCCTGGCTAGGTTATTGACCCACTAAGCCACAGAGCAAAAGTAAGCCAAAGACGTTGTCTGGACGCCAAGATGGAGTGGAGCCACCACCTGAACAAATTTTTCGTAGTTTTATTTGCAGTTTTTGTCTTTTGTGGTGTGGAATGGAGTGGAGTGTCGTTTCCCATTTGCATTTTCATTAATTTTCTTGCCAATTGTGGAATTTACCCTATCAAAGGGGGCTATTATGACTTTGATGTGAGGCTGGGAAGGTAGAAAGGTTAAGCATTTCAGAGATGTAAAGTATAGTAGATAATCCAATGAAATTTCTAGATATAAAAACAAAAACAAAAAATTAACATAATCGGATCCTATTTAAATTTCAATTATAATTTTAAATATTTTTAAAATAAATTAACGGTATCAAAAGTTTCGTTTGCCATCTCTGGACTTGCTCTCTTATTTACCTTTTGATGGCGTCGCCCAGGCGGCTCTAGGATGCTCTCTCTCTCTCTCGCTCGCTCTCTGTCTATTTGTCTCCTTCCTCGTCTCTTCTTAGAGCCTGAGCCTGAGCGTGTGGTAGGGAGGGTGGGGAGCGGCGGAGATCATTGGGGAATTGACAGCCGCCGTTCGTTTTGCTTCCTTGTTTGCCAATTGCATCGCCAAAACGACTCTTGAAATGCATTTGCATGAGGTCTCCATGCAGGAATGATAGAAGGGGTGGTGGCAGGGGGTAGAGTGGGAGGCAGCAGCAGGAGACTCTGTTGGCTAGACAGACACTCAATCAATCATTCATTCATTCATTCAGGCAGTCAGTCCGTTGTTCATTCAATCATTTGCCTTCCTGCCCTCCACTCCACTCCCCCCCCTCCCTGTTTGCTGATTCATTTATTTACCTTCCTTCCACTCTTCCCCCCTTTGGCTGCATCATTTATTCGCCTTCCTTTTCCCCCTTTTGCTGCTTCATGTATTCGCCTTCGTTTCCCCTATCGCTGCTGCTGAGCGTCTCATTCATTCAAATTTTTCGTAACTGTTTTTTATTTGTCTGTCTGGCAATTTGACATTTTCAGTTAGCTCTCCCGCTGCACTCTCCTTCGCCTCTTCCGCTTCGCTAGCCCCTCTCCTGATTTTCTATTACTCTGCTGCCCCTCTACTTGCTTCTCTCTCTCAGTCCCTCTCTCTGTTGTTCTCCCTCTCTTGTAGGTGTGTTTTTTGAGCTTTTTTTTATTTGGTGCGTGGTCTCCTCCTGCCCCCCCTCCTTTCGGAAAATGTCTTGTCATGTCTTTCGGTTTACTGCAATAAATTTGCTAAAACAATTTAATATGATTTTTCAACGTCTGTTTTCAGGATTTGTGGATTGGATTGGATTGGATTGGGGCAGTGGGCACTCCTTTCAAAACAGAAATCACTGAAATCGAAACCCTGGGAACACTCGTATCGCTGCTGAATGATGTCAGAACTTTTGTCGTGCCCCTAACCCTGTACCCGCCCTCCAAATGATCCCAAAAAAACCCCTCCTAAACCACTCTGAAAGAACGAACCCCCTCTCCTGGTACCCCTCTGACTGATCAGAAGTAACAAAAAGAAACCGAAAAACAAATTGAAAAATGGAACAAACAAATGGCGATATGTTGACAGCGCGCTCTCAATAGGTCCGCTGATGAGGGCGGAAAGCGGTAATTGGTGTTGACCAGCAGGGGGTTAAAGAGAGAGAACTAACGAAGGAAGGGGAGTAAGGAGAAGGGAAGAGAAGAGAAGTGTGTACGAATGGGATAAGCCCAACCCGCATATCGTTTGCTCGAGTTAAAAGTCACCAGAGGAAGTACAGTCACATTCTGCTTTATTCGATTGCGTGGGGTATTTATAAGAATTGCTTAAAAGATTAATGTAGGAATTATGTGAGTAATTGATGGATATAACTGGTTTCAAGTGGTTACTAAAAGATAAAATTATTTTAAATACAGAAATAAAAAGAAAACGATCGATCAAAATTTCTTTCTTATGAGTCGTTGAGAAGAATGAATCTAACGACGGTGTTAGGGAAAAAGTGTTGCTTCCAAATTAAATTCATTCAAAATGGAACACCACAATGTGGAAGGGAATTAGTTTCAAAGTTTCGAAAACTGTATAAAATTTGCGTTATATGTATATTCGCTGGGATATATTCAAATTATGGGGATTCCTCTCTGTACCTCAAAATTGTTGCAAAAGCCTTAGGAAAAAGATTTCTCAAAATTAGCAAACAATCAAAAAAGATAATAAATACATTTTGTGTTCCATATTCCCATAAAAGTTGCAACGGCCTCATTATCTGCCCCTGCCTCTGTTGCAACACCCCCTCTCTGCCGCATTGTGCGTGTTATTGGATCGCAGACTTAAGGAAGAGACTTGACTTGGCTTCGCTTTTGCCTCTCCGCGAAAGCAATCCAGAGATCACTCCCTCCGGCTCTCCCTACCTCTGACTAACCAACTGACATAATTCCCAAGGAAAATGTTAAATGCATTAACAACAACAGTTATGTCTCAATTATTGCCCCCCCAAAACCAGTTTACAGCTGCAGAAACAGAAGAAAAAAACCAGAGAGGAAAAACGTCAAAAGAAAACTTAAATTAAACTTTAAGAAGCAGCAAAACAATTTCCATTACAAAAACAACAATTACGAATGGAAGGGTAGCTTAAAGAAACGAATTGCTAGATACCCTGGCATATTTTCTATGGGAGCTAAGCTCTTCTCACAACCCATGGGATTGATTGATTGATGCTTTTTGTGTCAGTGATTTTAGGCCTTATTCGGGATAAATATTCAGAATTCTCTTTGCTTTCCAAGCATCTTCTAAAAATCGCTATACCTTCTCCATTAAAAGAGTATAGAAAAACAATAACAATTAAAGCAAACAATGTGGAAAAATGGCAACAAAAAAGGCGGAGAGGGAAAAACATACACGCAATGCAGTTTTTCCAGCTTCCCATGCCCCATGGCCCAAAAAAACCAGAAAGAAAAAAAAAACCACCATGTTAGCATTACATTTTCAATAAATTAATTTCCTTTTTGTGTAAAAGCTTGGGAAAAATCTAAGGATGCAAATTGTTTGGAAAAAAAGAAGAGGAAAAAAAGGATGTTTTAGAGATAGTTTTAATAAAAAAAGAAATGAAAATGAGGTTTAGAGAGGAGGTTTTCATAGGGTTTAGTGGCACATAGAAAGGCTGAAGAAAAATGTTTCCAAGGAGGTTTTCGGAGGTTGGTTAAAGTGGGAAAGCCTTTAACCTTAAGTTGTAGGGGGGTATTTTTTTTTTTGGTTAAAAGTGCCACTTCGTTGAAGAGTAAAGAAAAACCCACGCAACGCTGACGGCCTTAATGGAGACATTAAAAAAAGGCTTCCTTCCCCGCTGGCTTTATCTCTCTCTCTCTCTCTATTCCTCTTCATATGCTGTTGTGGCGTCTAAATTGCTTTTAATGGTCACTTGTGGCACTTTACTTCCCCGTCCTATGCCCCATCCATGGGATCCACTGCACTTTTCCATCGTTTGAAACTGTCGCAACTTTGTTAAAGTTTTTTATATTTATGTTAGGGACTCTCCTCTATTGCGGGCTTTATTTGTCGTCTCCTACTCATTGAGCACTCGCACGCACGCCCACGCTGTGTTGTGGGGCCCTTCCTCCTATGCCTCCGGCCTGCGTGTCTGCCTCTTTTTCATAGACTATTAAATGTTGCACTTTAAAGTTCTCCCTTGGCTTGAATGTATGAATGTCAGTGGAGCGTGGAATGGAGCTCTCTATACTTAGCTCTATTAATATTAATGTAGAAATGATCGAATAAAAACTAGACAAATACTAACAAGAATACTATACTATACTTATTTCTATCATCCAGGGTATATATCTTCACCCATCTCTCAAGATATCTGCACCCATCTCTCATCCACCTTCCTATACAATTTTTTCGGTGAATAAATATCTTTATAACTCCTTATCGGTGTCTATATCTCTGAAGGTCCCTCCGACCTACTGTTGTATTTATTTATTTTCTATTTCTCAACTATTTCCCTGAATTAACAAATATCTCTCATTAAATCACACAAACTAAATGAATTGCAATGCAATCTCTCCAAGCGAATCAATATTTCGATATTTAATAGTGATCTACATGGGCTCGGCCCCACCTTCCCTTCATGATAATTTCAGGGTCGTTCCGCTTATGCCGTCCGTCCGTCCAATGCTCTTGGCACGCAATTAGCATTTGAAATTGAATTGAATTTTCCTCGTATGCTTTTGAGACGTTTGTCTGTCTGGTTAGTCGCTTGGCCAACAACTCTCCGTTTTTTTTTTTTTCTGTTGTCATTTGAATATTTCATTACCAAAGTCAGGCCACGATATCTCGTACCCTACGAAGTTTTTTAATGGTTTTGGCTTTGAGCCAAAAACTATTTTTCAAATGTTTATCATCAG